TAATTTGTCGTTGCCAATCATTGTAGTATATTTACATTTTAAGTCCTAAAAATTATTCCAAAAGTTCTTTTTCTTTTCTCTTTTTACCTACTAAATAACCAATTCCTAATGCTAAACTAATTATTGCAATACCACCAATGTCCTATATTAAAATTTTTAGACAAGTTTTAATTGTCAACTAATTCTCTATTTCATAATCCACTAATACCTTGGCTCCTTTTTTACCTGCTTCGACCATAAAGTTAATTGTTTGTCCTTCTTGCAATTTATTTCACCTCTCTTCATTTACTTTACCAGAGAAAACAAAAACACTTTCTCCATTATCTAATTCTAAAATGAGATAACGTTGGTTATTTCGGTCTAAGAGTTCTTTACGTTGGTTAATAGTGGCTTTAAAGTTCATTATTTTTTACTAATAGCTTCTTTTAGATTAGTCGAGAATTTACACTTTGGCACTCTTTTCGCCGGAACTTTCATTTTTTTCTTAGTTTGTAAGTTCATGGCTATTCTAGGTTTAGTCATGGTAGTTTTAAAGGAGAAGTAACCTAAAAATCTAACTTCTTCACCTTTAACTAAGGCTTTTTTAACTTCTAACAAGAGTTCATCAATGATTTTAGTTACTTGATTTTGGGGAGTTTGGGTTTTTTTGGAAATGTTTTCGGTGAGTTGTTTTCTGCTGAGAGTTGACATATTTAATATTTTTAATGGAAGTGAGTACTTTGTTATTAAATAACCTTGAAAGTTGTATAAAATAAACAGAAGTTTTTTCTTTAAGTCCTTTAATTACCGTAGTATCCCAACAATTAATTTCTTACTTTTTGCCTATATCTTAATTTTTTAATTTTATATATATCTGAATAAAGTTATTGTATTGTTAAAACTAATAATATAATATGCCAACCCTAGAATGAGTAGATAGAAATTATCCCAAAAACACAAGAAGTTCCATTACTAAATTAGATATTCGTCAAAAAAATCTATACGGAGAATTAGATTTATC